ACGAGGAAAAACAAGAAGCAGGTTGCAAAAAAAAAAAAAAAAGGAACCAAAAGTACAAACGAACACGACACCCCCAGCCATTGCACAACAGTGACCGGCAAGTAGGATAAGAAATAATGAGGAAAACAAGAAGCAGGTGTGCAGCATTCTCTTGTCAAAAAGATAAGCCATGTTGTTGACACAAAAAAATACAGCTCACATCGCTCCTCCTGCGACAAACAGGTGTTTCGCGTTAAACACCCGTAACTTGCGGCGTAACTTTCATCGGTACTGTACCAAGCAGCAGCAGATGTATAACAGCACCTTTCTTAAGGCCTACTGTTATCTTGCCACGAAAGCAACGCCTGTCCGTCCTCCCGGCGTGAATACGATTATCCTTGGCCCCGCTTTACAGCACCCAAGTATTATCTTATACTTTGTATTTTCCAGGTGTTGGAAGCCCCCCTTTTTACGAAAAAAGCGGCAAAACAAAAAAAACTGTGCCACATTCCATGTTGTACGTCGCATTTCGCGCTTTTCAAGTGATTCGTCCGCTCCCCAGAAAAGCACGGACCGTGAACACTACAAGACATGGAACGCACCAGAATAATATATTTTCTTCGTTCGGAGCTACACAGCTTCACGTTCATCTTTTTACAGACACACACACCAAAATGAAGAAAAACTGATTATATTGTACACAAAAATATCTATCCGTGGATACAGCAAGTCCAGGATAAAACGAAGAGACGATTTCACAGCAGCGTACACGAACAAAAACCAGAGGTTGTCTCATTCCTCATGCACCCAAACTAACGCAGAGTTCACAGTCCCCCCACCCACCCACCCCCAGTCCGAGGACAAAGCGGAGCCCCGAACAAATACTGCTCGTCAGTTTCGTGGTAGCCTTGGCGCGCGCGGCAGTTTCTGCTTTCCCCCACCCTTTTAAAGACCATCAGTCAGCCAGTTATTGTACGTTCTCTTCTTCCTAAAGACGACCACCATAGGCCAATTTCTGATTTCCCCCGCTCTTTTTCCTTCCTCGCAGAGACGACGGTCAGCCAGTTTCCGCCTTTCCCCGCTCTTTCTAAAGACCATCAGCCAGCCAGCCAGTTCTCTTGCGTTTCCTCTTCTTCCAAAGACGACCGTCAGCAGTCCTCGGCGGCGACCGAAGCGACAGACGCCCCCCCCCCCCCCC